TGAGAGGGAAAATCTTTTGACACAGAAAGTTAGGAGAACAACACCTTAGGCACCACACAAGCCAACTATGGGACTCTTTTAAATGGGAGACAGAATATACTTTTCTTACCTGTTCTTTAGTGAAGCAAGAAGCAATAGGGATACATGTAACTATCATTAATTAAAAAACGGATTCAAAGTGGCCTAAGCAATAAGAAAGCTATTATCTCACATAACAAGAAACTGCAAGGTAGGTAGCTCCATCCGGAGGACACAGGCTCTTTCTGCCTGCCTGTCCTTCTGTCCTTGCTGTCATCAGCTTCAGGCCTGTCGCTGCCTGCAGGGGCTCTATGCAGGGGCTTTTGCTACCTTGTGGCTGCCACAAACTGTTCTCCTCTGTGAAGCCCCTATGCCAAGCCACTCTGCCTTGGAGCCAGTTGACTATGGACTGAAACCTCTACAAACTGTGAGCTAAGGTTTAGATTCAGGATTTGTTCCTAGTGTCCAAGACTTTGACAAGAAACTGACAGAGGCTGATGCTTACCTACAGATCTTGATTGAACAACTAAAGCTTTGTGACAACAAGCTTCAAAACTGTAAAGATGATGAACAGAAAAAGAAAACTGAAACTCTCAAGGAGACAACAAATAGCATGGTAGAAGCAATTAAACACTGCATTGTGTTGCTACAGATTGCTAAAAGCACCATTAACCCTGTAGATGCAATATATCAACATAGTTCCTTGGAGCCTGTGATCAGCATAATGCCTTCCCAGACTGTCTTACCTCCAGCAGCGGGCATTCACCACCTAGTAACAGTCTGACTTCTCCAAGCCATGTCAACTTGTCTCCAAATACAGTCCCAGAGTTCTCGTACTCTAGCAGCAAAGATGAGTTCTATGACGCTGATGAATTCCATCAAAGCAGCTCATCCCCAAAGCGCTTAACAGAGTCTTCTGGATCTGCCTCAGTCTTGACCCACAGCAGCTCGGGAAATAGCCTAAAGCTTCCAGACACCATGGAATCACTGAATTCTTCCATGTCCAATGGAACAAGTGATGCTGACCTTTTTGATGCACATAATGGCAGAGATGATGATGGGGAGGCAGGGTCCGAGGAGGAGCACAAAAGTGTCATCCTGCACCTCTTGGGACAGGTTAGGCTCAGAATGGATCTGACTAAGGTAGTTCCAACATTTATTCTTGAAAAAAGATCTCTTTTAGAAATGTATGCAGACTTTTTTGCACATCCAGACCTGTTTGTGAGCATTAGTGACCAGAAGGATCCCAGGGATCGAATGGTTCAGGTTGTGAAATGGTACCTCCCAGCCTTTCATGCAGGAAGGAAGGGATCAGTTGCCAGAAAGCCATACAGCCACATTTTGGGTGAGATCTTTCAGTGTCACTGGACGTTACCAAATGACACTGAAGAGAACACAGTGCTACTTTCAGAAGGACCTGTTCCTTGGGTTTCTAAAAACAGTGTAACATTCGTGGCTGAGCAGGTTTCCCATCATCCACCAGTTTCAGCCTTTTATGCTGAGTGTTTTAACAAGAAGATACAATTCAATGCTCATATCTGGACCAAATCAAAGTTCCTTGGGATGTCAATTGGGGTGCACAACATAGGGCAAGGTTGTGTCTCATGCCTAGACTACGATGAACATTACATCCTCACATTCCCTAATGGGTTATGGAAGGTCTATCCTCACAGTGCCCTGGGTGGAATTAGGAGGAGAATGCAGTATTAATTGTTCCAAAACAGGCTATAGTGCAAACATCGTGTTCCACACTAAACCTTTCTATGGGGGCAAGAAACACAGAATTACTGCTGAGATTTTTTTCTCCAAATGATAAGAAGTCTTTTTGTTCAATTGAAGGGGAATGGAATGGTATAATGTATGCAAAGTATGCAACAGGGGAAAATAGTCTTTGTAGATACTAAGAAGTTGCCTATAATCAAGAAGAAAGTGAGGAAGTTGGAAGATCAGAATGAGTTTGAGTCCCCCTGCCTTTGGAAGGATGTCACTTTCAATTTAAAAATCAGAGACACTGATGCAGCAACTGAAGCAAAGCACAGACTTGAAGAAAGGCAAAGAGCAGAAACCCGAGAAAGGAAGGAAAAGGAAATTCAGTTGGAGACAAGGTTATTCCATGAAGATGGAGAATGCTGGGTTTACGATGAACCATTACTGAAACGTCTTGGTGCTGCAAAACACAGAGTTCACGCCTGATGACCCAGGTGGTAGCTCCGCCTAATGAAGCAACAGTCTTCCTTTGGGAGAACCTATTGCTCCCTTCTTACGGCAGTGGTTCCTATCTCAGGGATACTGGACTTTGATGCAGATGAACAATTAAAGCAGGAAAAGCTGCTTTTTTTCCTCTGGCAGTTACAATTTTGACTTCAGTCCTGAGAAAACCTTCGGGTTTTGAAACAAGATGTCTGCTCTTTTCCAAACCGCATGCTTTGAAAAGCATTTATAAACCCAAATCTCATACTCGCACTCTAGTTTTGCTTTTAAGATATGACATACCAAGTGTTTCCTACCTTATGTATCTTGGGTTACATATGTATATGTATATACACACGCACACACATATATATACATACACATAAACAGATACACATTGATGGCAGATTTTCATAAATACTCATCTGTAAATACTGGTTCCTCAGAGTTGTTTTAGAAAACTAGCGCAATGTATCAAAAATCAAGTGTGTTAGGAAATTTAGTTATTTCATCTATAATAACTTTTATTTTAGAATTGAACTATTAAATTGATCTAAACCTGGATTACAGTTTAATTATTCTTAAGGCTTCATAAAGTAGTTTTTCTAATCTTTAAAAAAAAAAACAAAGGTAAGAGAGGCCATCTCCTCCCCAGGTGAGACACCTTCACCTCCAGCACTCAGCTGTAGTTTGGGTGTCACTTGTCCCCCACATGCTCCGCATTGCAGGTTTGGTCTCCAGAAAGTAGAGGAGACTTTGAGAGGTGGGGCCTGCTAGAAGGTAGTTAGGTCATTTGGAGCACTACCCTCAAAGGGATTAATGTAGTTCTCAGGGAACCCCGGTTAGTTCCTGGAAAAGGGAGCTGCTCTAAAAAACAAAACAAAACAAAACTAAAACAGCATTCCTGTCTTTCCAAGGGATCTCTGCCATGTGGTTTCCCTCCATCGTGATGCCATCGGCCATGAGGCTGTCACCAAATGCCAAGCAGATGGGGCTGCCCAGTCTTGGACTTTCAGCCTCCCAATTGTAAGCCAAATAAACCTCTTTATAAAAATAAAGTATCTGGGCCAGGGATTTAGCTCAGGGGTACCGAGCCTGCCTTCCAAGGGCAAGATCCTGAGTTCAATCCAAGGTACCAAAATAAATAAATAAATAAAGTGGGGTGTGGTGGTACATGCCTATAATCCCAGCACTCTGGGAGGCTGAGGCAGGAGGATTACAAGTTCAAATCCAGCCTGGACAACTTAGTGACTCGGCAAGACACCGTCTCAAAATTAAAAATAAAAATGGCTGGAGATTAGCTCAATGCAAAGGACCTGGGTTTAATTCCTATTACTGCCAAAATAAATTGTCCAGCCTCAGATATCTCCAAATAGCAACAGAAAACATTTGCACCCCTTATAGACTTCCTCTTACATCTCATTGGCTAAAATTGAGTCACATGTCCATGCCTAAGCCAATCAAGTGGGACAACTCTGACAGCTTTGAACCAATCAGGATCTAACTTCAAAGGCTAGGGATTGCCCCAGCTGTCCTTAAACCCAAGGCTGGCTTCAGAAGGTGGATGCCTGCATTAAGTCAGGCCTGTTTGACCTAGGCCAGCCTCTGGAGTTAATTTTAAAAAGGCGCCAAGCCTAACTTAGGACATTTTCTTTCTGTAGTTCACCAAAAGGCACAGAGCTGTAGGTGGCAGAGCCAAAACTCAAAGCCAGAAAGGAAACGTGATGCTAAAGATAAACTGGGCTTAGTTAACAGTTGACCCCAGGTCCACCCTTTGATGGAGGGGCCTCTTCCTCTGGGGGCTAGTGGTTTTGTCATCCTGGAAGTGAAGGGCATGCCAATAGCTTCCCACACTTCACTGGGACCCCTTGAGTCTCCCTCTGCCAGCCTCCAGCCAGTGTGGCATCACATCACAGCCATATCTTCCTGCCTCTTCTGTACAGAAAGTTTGACAGTTCTTTGTCTCCATTTGATTTATGGATGCCATTACGCTCCTCCCTTGCAGTCTGCACACCTCAGATGGCTTCGGCAGGTCAGCATGAGCCGTCGCAGCTGCTCACCCAAATACCCGGTGTACCCATTAGGAGGACCCCACCTCCACTCTCAGAGTTGCCAGCCCCTCCCCACCCCGCACAGCTGGGCAGGTAGCCTGGGATGTGTCACACTGGGCAAGGGGCTAATGGTCTCTTAAACAGAGACTCTGAAGACAAAGATTCCAACCTTAAACACAGACCCACCGAAGGCCACATCTGATTAGCTGCCTTGATTCACTTCCGCTTGTTTTTCCTACCCTTCCCCAAATAATCACTCTAGAGTTGCTGTCACTGGGTTCTTCTTGAACAAGTTTCTTACTTCTCTGTGTCCCAAGTTCCTTTTGTATAATAGGGATAACGATAATGTCCTCCTTCTAGCAGCTACAGCAGAATACTGTGGCCTGAGTGAGGGTGACTTGTGCCACAAACATTTCTCTCAGTTCTGGGGGCCAGAAGTCGGAGATGAGGGTGCCACATGGATGGGTGATGGTGAGAGTCTTCTACAGACAGTGGATCTCTTCTTGTGTCCTCACCAGGAGGGAAGCGGGCCAGCCAGGTCTCTGGCCTTTTCTAGTTGTAGTGGATTAACTAATGGGCAACTCAGAACACCCAGCTGAACTGAATCAGCGTGGTCTGGGCGTGGAAGATCCACCTGAGGATTGTTGCCAACGGCATAAAAAGAGAACTGGAGGGGAGGATGAGGGGTGTTGATCTTCTAGGAGAAGCTTGCTGTGGTTGGTTTCCTGATGTGAACTTGGCTGTTCTTCTCAGAGGAGAAGCTCAGGGCATCGCTGTCGCTGGGAATGGCTGCTGTTCTCGTCGGGGAGCTCTGATCTTCACTGTGAGCAGCACTTCCTGCCTCCATTATGGATCCCTCCACCTGGTGGCACAGATTCTTCACCCCAATGGTGCAGGTTTTCTGGCTTCCACCACTGGGCTTTGGGCCTTCCGGGTGCAGATTCCCAATATGGACAAGCATGAGACATTGCCATGGGCTCTAGGCCTCTGGCTGAACTCGTGGAGGACATTGCCTTGCACTCTAGGCCTTCAGCTGGTCTTGTGAGGGACATTGCTGGGGGATCCAGGCCCTCAGCTGGATTCTTCGGATCTCTAGTGTGTGAGTAGATCTCTTGCGCTCCTCTGTATTTACTTTTTGGGTGACTATTATAAAATAATCCTATAAATTATGTGTCCTGTATTAAATCTGTTCCTTTGCAAACCCTGATTACAACACTAATCCATTAACAAGGGCTCCACTGTCAGGACTCAATCATCTCCCAAAGGCCCCCGCCTCCTAATGCAGTGGGGGCTAGGGTTTCCATATATAAATTTGGGGGTGACAGACATTTGGTCCGTAACAGATAGTACTTACCCCACAGAGCCATTCTGAGTATTGAACAAGAGTAAAACCCCTAGCTTAGCATCTGATATATAGTATGCTCCCTCTATGTGTTGATTGGGGGGGGGGGCGTTCTTTATCTTCTCTTTTCTTTTTTTTTTTTCTTTTCTTTTTCCTCCCAGTACTGGGGGCTGAACACAGAACTTTATGCATCTACCACTGAGCTAGATTCCAGCCTTATTTTTTAATTTATTTGTCCAAGTTTTCTCATTGCTGAGACAAAAATACTCAACACTCAAAGTTAAAGGAGGAAAGTTTTATTTAGCTCACAGTTTGTAGAAGTTTCAGTCCCTAGTCGGCTGGCTCCAAGGCAGGGTGGATGGCAGAGGGGACGTCACAGAGGAGAAACAGTTCACAGCAGGCAGAAGGTAGCAAACCAAGCAAAGGGGAAAACCACAGCTCTTTCTATCCCTTATGTCTTGTCCAGGCTACTTAGGGCAGGTAGCACTCACACCCTTAATCCTAGTGCCCCTGATCCTAGCATTGCACCATGAATCAATTCCACCATCCCATCTATGACTGCATGAGGCTTTAAGGGTACACATAGACACAAGCCATAACAGCATTTATTTATTTTATTTATTTTTGAGACAGGCTCTTGCTAAGTCACTTAGTTGGCCAGGCAGGCCTCACACTTTCAATACTCCTGCCTCATCCTCCCACGATGCCAGGATTATAGCTGTGCACCACCTTCCCAGCTTGTTTCTTTTCTAATCTGAGTAACTGCTGCTGCACACTGAGCACTGGATGCTCACCAGCTACTACATGGTTATCTCTATCCAGTAACTTAGTGATCCTCACAGCCCAACTCATGAATGCAGCAGTGTGTCTATGTCTTGCCACCAGGGAGTGGGAGAAAGGACATTGCAACCCATATCTGAGCCCAGAGTGCATGCTTTTTAACAACACTAACTGCTTTGCAAATTCACTGTCTGAATAATACTGTTTGAAGGAATTTGGGGAGATTAGGCATACTCTGAGATGAGGAAAGGGACCCCACACTGAGAACATAATGCCATGATTCCAGAGGTTGCCAGGCACCAGGCCCCCCCCAAGAAAGGACAGTGAGGACTGCAGAACCCTCGCCACTCCCACCGCTGTGGCTTAGGTTGTCTGCTGCCTGCTTCTCCATAGAGATTCTAGGAACCTGCTGCAAGACATTGGTGCACTGGGTTGCCGTGTGAAAGCAGGCTACAAGACAAAGAGAGAAATAAAACACAGAAGGAAAAAAGCCTAGCACACCAGGGAAGGCACTGGTGGACCCTCACAAGGAGAAGAGTGCTCTCTCTCTTCCCACACGCCTTCTGGCCAGCTCAAGGGTGCTGGCCTGCCACTGTGCTGGCCAGGATCACACCCCTGTTCATTTGGACACAGCCCCTCGCTGACCATGCCAGGGCCAGGCTGGTGCTGGCTCCTTGGCCTTCTTCCTCTTTGCTGAGTCCAAGGAGGAGAGGCCCAAGGGCTGCTCCCCCTTCCACCAGGTGCTTCTCTGGGGGTGTCCTCCCCACTCTTTCCAAGTAGCCATAGATATCTCTTTCTTGCACCTTCTCCTTGCCCACCCAACCCCCTCTGGTGCAGACAAGTAGACCTGAGTCTGTTCCCTAGCAGGCCACCTGGGCACCACTGCTTCCTGTTGCTGCCCCTTTGCTCACCTGAGGCCAGGGTGTGGCCTTAGGAGGAAGAGGTCTTGGGTCCAAGGCTTGGAGACCTGACCAGTGGTCCAGCGCCACTTCCTAGGTCTGAGCTCAAAACCCCAGCTAGCAGCAAGCTTCCCTCTGCCTTTGCTTCAGCTCTTCGGGTGAGGGGTTGTGCCTGGGAAAGCCATGTGTACTCCTGGGTCCTCTGACCTCATATCCATCTCATCAAGATCCATGGTGGCAGCCATGCTAGAGAAAAGAAGGGAAGGGAAGCAGTGGGCTGTGTCCTTGAGCCTTAGGAGATAAAATGTTGTATCCTTGGTTCCTGGGAATTTGTCATCAAAAGGCCTATGCACTTCCTTGACTCAGAAGCACTTAATTAGCAAAAAAGATAAGTCCAAGGAAAATGGAGACACTGGGGCGTGGGGAGCCAGTTACAGGAGGACAGCAGAGCAGGAGACAGAGGCTGAGTCTTGGGCCTGTGGAGCTAACAAAGCACCAGGACTTAGATCAAGTCCTCTGATTCCTATACTGTAAGATCTGACAGTGCCCATGGTGGCCGTGCAGGGGCCAGAAGCAGCTCCTGGCAAACTGCCCTTGTGCTACATGGAAGACAGAGCCTTCAGTCTTTAGGGTAAGCTAAGTGGGCAAGCCAAAGCCAGACTGGGGATGCAAATGTGGGAGCCCAGACTGCACATCCGTGATGGGTGACTTGGACTGGGCTCCATGGGGACAGTGTGGGGAATTCTGGCCTCCGGGACGCTGTGTGCTCAGGAAGCAGCATTTCCTGTTCTAACTCCTGGTTTCTTGCCTCCCACAGACTTCCCGATTCTGAGCCTTGTGGCTGTCAGTGCCTGCACTGTCCACATAGAGGGGGCCAGGAGGCTCCTCACCTGTATGAGAACTGCTGTCGCTGGCCAGGTGCTAAGTGGCACCACCCTACACCCTGGAGGCGCAGGGAGCTGCTCCAGGTACAGATGAACTCACAGAGGTGGGGACAGAGGCTGGCCACCCCACACTCCTTAGGAGCAGGGCCCAGCTCCGGTGAGACAGCGCCTCCCATACAGGGATGGGGATCAGGGTATACAAGGGAGTCATGAGCTGCCTGGGGGTGCTAGGGCAGGGCTGTCATTCCTTTGGGCCCTCAACAAGAGTGGTGGCTCTCAGAGCCCCTTTGGACTTCACAGCGCAGGTATAGAATTGCACTTTTGAAGTGGTTGGTGCCCATCAATAGCTTGCTGCGGATTCCTACTCTGGTTTCTACGTGGGCACCCTGCACACTCCCTCTACTTAAGTAGGATTGACCTGAGCAGAGCCTGTGCCTTCCCTTCTCCTTCTGAATTATGTTCAACCCCACAAACACTGCTGGGCCACCCCGTGACCCTGGCCCTGTGCTGGGCATCACTGAGCTCAAAGAACTTCCATCCAGGGATTCTTCATCTAGGAGAGGAGACAGACAATAAAAACCCAGTGAATAGGGGGTAAGAGAGCAGGTCAGTGTAGGGGACAATTTACTCACTAGCCAGGGAGGTCAGGTTTAATAGAAGAGTTGGTTTTGAAGCTGAGTTTTGAAGGACAAATAGGAGTTCAACAGGCAAGGCACAAAAACCCTCCAAGTAGAGGGAATAGAATGTGCAAAAGGCACAAAAATATAAAACAGCAAGGCTCAAGTGGAACTACCAAGGTGTGAAATAGAATGAAGAGGAGAGGAACGCTAGGGAGGAGGCTGAGCTCTGAGTCAAAGCAAAGCATGTGTTCTTCCTCCTAGCACTGTCGTGATCCGAGAGTCTGTGAGCCCCAGCACACCTAACCTGAGCGTCAGACACCCTCCCCTCCTTCCTCCATCTCAAAGGCCTGCAGCTTCATTTCCCCTACAAGAAACAGGACACCACCCAGAGGCCCTCCAGGCTTGCCCCTTCTGGTCCTGGGGCTCCTCCTGCCCTGCTGCCTCCCTTCAGACCTGCGGCTCTCAACAGAGGGCAACTCTGGCACAGTCCTGAGGCATGTGGGTGTTGTGGTGGGGGACACCTCCAGTGTACAGATCAGACCCCCACAGGAGGGGATCTTCAGCCCCAAATGTCAGCGGTACTGGGGAGGCCAGGGCCACCTAGGCCAAGGCTAGCAAGGCAGGGCCAGTCCTGGAGCCACCTCTGGACCTGCGTGGCCCAGTTCACAATGCCCCTCTGGGACAGAGTGGCAGCCCAGTCCTGAAGGAGGCACCTCGATGGCCAGAACCTACCAGAGTCCCCACTCCAGGCAGTCACTCCATTTTTTTCTCCTCCATTTTTTTTCTCCTTTGGAATTCACAGCTTGTTCAGAGGCCTCTGACTCTGTCTCAGGAACCCAGCAGACATCTGTCAGGGGCAGCCCCACACCCACCTCTTCCCCCCTCACCCAAGGGGTTTTGGCAAAGTGCTCCACCTGCAGGACATGGCTTCTGCCCCACCAGGCTCCACTTTTATGTTTACAGACCAAAGGGGACCTTTGCAGTTCTTTCTGTCTGGCCCTGCACTGTGTGGAAAGCCCTCTCTCTCCTTCCTTCCTCTCTTCTTCCCTCTCCTTCTCCTCTCCTTCCCTCTCTTCTTCCTCTCTTTCATGCTCTGTCCATCCCTCAGCACCCTGAGCCTGCTCTGCTGCCTCTCCACCTTGGACACCCTCCTCTCTCCCCAGCCAGCCTCCCCCCACCCACCCTCTGTGCCCAGAGCTGTGGCCCAGATCCCAGAGCCCCCAGTGTGCCCAGTCCAGAGTTGGGCAGCTCTCCGAGAGTTCAGAACTTGGTAGCTCTACTTGGTCCTGTCCATACTGGAGCACAGCCCATGGGCTGGGCGGTCTGAGTTAAACCAAGTGGCTTCCTCTCCACTTTGTGACCTGAAGCAAGTTTCTTCCCCTCTCTGTGCCCAGCACTATCTGTACAATGGGAACAGAAACCACCGGGTGGTGTGAGGACCTGCTGGGAGGTGAGGCGGATTAGAGCAGGACAGAGTGCTAGGGAAGGAGCAGCCAGGATTGTTACCTTGCGCCCTCACCTGCTTTTGAACCTGAGCTCCAGAGTCCTGACCTTGACCCACCTGGGGGTCTCATCAGGTGACCCCAGCCAGCACTCCCACCCCTCCCCAGCTGTGTCTGTGCTGGCTGGGCAGAGAAGGCGGGCACAGTTCTGCAGATAGAAGCCATTTTGGTCCCCCATCCTCACACTATGGAAGTCTCCCGCACACTCTCCTGCTCTGGAACTCACAGCTCTGGGGAGGGGAGCCCAGCCCTGCCTGGTCAGCAGAGGGATCACACAGCTCACTGCAAGACCCTGGGGCCGGTCGCTGTGCTCCTGTGAAAGTCCCTCTCCCCTGCCCACCTTCCCAGCCCCAACAGCACCCGCACCCCAAGTCAGCTCCCACGAGGTTGGAGGTTTGTGAGCCTAAGCATGGGGCAGAGGGCTGGGCCTGGGCTCCGGTTGTGGTGTCCTCACTTTGTCCTTTGTCTGTCCCTGTGTGTCTGAAACCTGCATACCTCACTGCAAGTCCAACTGTCCCCCAAGTCCTCATTGGGCACCAGAACACCCTGGGATGGACTATGGGGCCCTCTGCCATCACCTCCACCCCAGGAGGCGCTGTGCACTATTTCCTTCCCGTGCCAACTTGCTCCCTCTGCACCCTGCTGCACCTCCACCCCGCCCAGCAGCCCCACCACTCTCCTCCATTCCCCCTCTGTGGCTCCTGCCTCCTTCCCAGGAGCTGGCCTTGCAGGAAATGCCCATTATCTGACCACTGGCTCCCACAACCATCTCTGGGAGAAAAGAGAATTCCCATCTTTAGGCCACCCTTGGGGCCTTGACTTTCAGTGCAGGCCCAGGTTTTCCAGTGATCTATTATTAACATTGGTTTTGTTTCTTAGCACTCTTGTTATTCCACAAAGGGTTCCTGGCAGTCAGGTAGGGCCGGTGTAAGGCTCCTCTGGGAGGACTGAGAAGTCCCCTAACTCCTGCCACCAGACTCCTCCACCACCCTCCGCCAGGGTTCCTGCTGTGATGAACAATCAGCAACAGGAGTGGGGGTCCCATGTTCCCTTTCAGAGCAGGGATGCCTAAGAGTAAGAACTCCATACTCCCACACCCTGAGACATCCACGTATGGGCCCTGTCTTCCTTTCTCCAGATTCCTCTCAGTGGAGGACTGTATGGACAGACCCTCAATTGGTGCTTTTGCTGGCTGGGCCACCTAAGACTTGATCCCCCTCTGTCTGTTTCTCCCAGGTAAATTCAGACCTGATGCTGGGCTGTCCTTGAAGGCTGACTTCTGACCTCATCTCCTCCAGAAAGCGAGCTGTGATGCTATCTCCCGTCTCAGAATTCCTGAGGCCCAAGATCTGTGCCAGAAACCTGCCACATGGGCATGTCCACTGGTTGAGTGCAGTTGTCGGTAGAGCTGTCCGCAGTACTCTGGCCCTCTCTCTTGGACAGTTGGAAAGGTTACTTCTCACCCACTGGAGCTTAGCTGGGGCCATGTGACTTCCCTTGCGTGGAAATGAGAAGTGTCTCTTCCAGGTAGATACCTTCAAAGTCAGTACAGATCCTCCTTGACTCAGGAAGAGGTTATATCCCATGAGACCCATGGTACCCTGAAAATATCATAAGTCAAAAACCTACCCAACACACAGCCAACCGAACACTATGCTGCAGAGTGTCACTGTTCCCTCATGATCACACCATGAGCTGAAAGCTGCCGTCACTGGAAGAGGATCGTACTGTGTATCACTGCCCAGCAGAAGAGACAGATCCCACATTCCAGGTATAGTTTCTCCTCAATGTGTACCGGTTTTGCTCACTGTAAATTTGAAAAGTCCTAAATAAAACTATGGTGAATTGGAGACTATCTGACTACACTTTCCTATAACGACTGTCCAAGTTCCAAACAATGTCTCCTGACTCCTTTACTAGCTAAGACAGGCTGAACCCCTGCAGATCTGTGATGGACAAGTAATTACAACCAAAAAGTAAACCTTTGTAGTTTTAAATGACCAAGATTTTTGGAGCTGCTTGTCACTGTGGCATAACGGAGCCTTTCCTAGCTGATACACTGTGTGAGCAACCAGCATGTCCCTTGATGAGCTGGAGATACAAAGTCCATAATGCCTTTTCATTTTCTTTCAAATTATAGAGACCTTTGGTCCTCACCTGCTAAGACTAGTAGGAAGTACAATCTTCCCCACAGAGTTCCTATTGCTAAGCATTCCCCATGCCCTGGTCTTTGGTTGCTATCCTTGCTGCATACACAGATGCCTTCTCACTCTTACGTCTAGTTGCTCTGGATGGGCTCATCTAGCTGCTGGTGGTCAGTTCACCCACGTCACCACAGGGCAGAGGACACCCTGCAGGCCATCCTGGGCCATGTCCCCTGACTCAAAGTCAGGACAGTCCTGAACTCCCAGCCCTACAGTTCTTTCTTATATAATAGGCACCACCCCAACACACAGTCCCTTCCACCTGGGCAGCCGGCCAAGCCCACATCTTTCATCTCCCTCCACACCCTCAGTGGTTCTTCTCCCAGCGATGGCACTGCCCTCCTGTGCCTCTGGGTCTCAGTCCAAGCACTGCTGAATACATTCTGTCATTTCAGGCCTTGGCGAGAAGGCTCACGACCCCGTCTGGACACTGCCCAAAGGCCGCAGTCTCAGTATACAAATGTAACCCCACAGCACCCCCACACACACAAGCAGCCATAAAGCTCCCTGTGTAGACGCCATGGAAAAGGGCGACACAGGCCCATGTGCACTTGGGCTAGAACTCAGGTCAAGGAGTACCAGAATGCCAGCCGCCACCTTGTCCAGAACCACAGTGGCTGCTGACCAGAATGTCTAAGCCTGCTCCAAAACGGACCAACATCTTCTCCAAACAGAAGCCAGGCCCCTAGTGGCCAACCCACCCCCACCCCCACGGCCACCGGAAGATTCAGAGATTCCAAGACTCACTCCTCTCGGCACAGCCACATGTGAATCTCAGCTCCCCGGCGCCTGGCTTCCTCTTGCCTCCCCGACCCTACATCATCTTCACAGTGTTCCCAGGAATGTGAGAGGAACCTTCTCGGCAGGGAAGAAATCTCAGGGTTCACAGCAATTTTCTGAGGCACGGCAGGAGAGGATCAGGTTCCTGAACAGACCACGGCAGCCTATCTATAAATCTCCAGCCCTAAGCCAGGACCAGGGGAGGCAGAAGGTGAGGGAGACCTGGAGGGGACAAAGGTGACATCAGTGGTTTGCCAATGCCACTGTACCAAATGTGGCCCCAGCTGTCCTAGGCCTTCCTTACAAACTTGTAACTGGAAATTTCTGCTCCCCGAAGAATATTCCTCATCCCCAATCCTCCAACCTCACTTTGCACAATCACAGATTCCTAAAGAGAGATGCCAGGAGGTTGGATTTGGGGAAAGAATCCCCTGTCTGCGTGCCTACTTAGAGGGCTGAGTTGAAATACATGCTTGGTACATCTGTTCATAAAACAAGGACCCGACGCCACCCCTGTTTCACAGACTGGTGGGTCTGCTCTCCTCCTAAATGAACGAGCTGCCCTTGCTGGGTTGGAGGGGGAGGCTGGGCTAGGGAGAGCTTCCACCTCCCAGGATGTGAAGGACAATGAGACATCTGCCCTTGCGGCAGGACCTCAGGACCCACAGGCCTGTGAGTCACAGGCAATGAGTCACCTGCACTGTGTGACAATCCTCGCAGACACTTTCCTACCTCACGCTGGGGATGTGAGCCATGCTTGGGCCCCACCCCAAGGGCATGCAGGGCAGTGTGTACCTCAGAGATTGCTATTTCCTAACACTGGGACAAAAATGACGGTCCTTCCATCACAACCTGTGTCTGCAAGACACAGGGCTGGGCAGGCATCATCTGCAGGCTGGAATCATCCCTTAGTGGCTGTGGTGGGGATTCAGGACTGGTCCACCCAGTGCCCCATCTCACCCCAGGTCCCAGGAACAGCCATCTCCCCAACAATTACCTTGCTACACCCATAGGAACTTTGGGGCCTGGAGTATATGGAGTGCCCTGCTGCCTCTCCCAGGGAGGAGTAGGGAGGAGACACAGAAAATGGGAATTAGGACTAAGATTCCAGCCTCTGCCCGACAGTCCTCCTGACCAGTGCCCATGAGAAGTGAGGGGCCCCTGGACCATTCCCTTCCCTTTGGGACTGGAAAACAGAGACAGCTGTATAAGAGAGCAAAGCTGCTGCCCACAGAGCCCAGGAGAGCCTCCTCCCCTCTGAGTCACCTTCCTCTCCTCCTTCTGGTCACGGGGAGGCTGCTTTGTCTGTTTCCCCCCTGGGCTGAGCTCCTGAAGAAAGTGACATGTGATTGGGACCTCTGTCCTCTTGGCACAGGGGTGGCAAAGAAGGGTGCTCCTAGGGACCCAATGAGTCCTGACAGGTGTGGCCACCTCAGGGGCTAATCTGAGCCCTATACAGCTCAGGTAAAGAGCTGGCTGCCACCTTTATTTCTCCTGCCTCTGTGGAAGCCTAAACCCCTTGGCTTACCAGGGTAAGAAAGCCCCCCCAAGGGGCCCGGGATTTAGCTCAGTGGTTCTGGCTCCTGCCTCCTGCCTCAAAAGCGCAAGGTCCTGAGTTCAATCCCCGGTACCAAAAAGAAAAAGACAGTCTCCCCTATCCTGGGTAAACTAAGTTGGGAGGTAAACTGGGTAAACTGTGTTTGGACCTAATGTGTGGTGCTCTATGGAGGACAGATGCTGCCATTGGAGAGGCTTGTTTCTCCCCTAATCGGTTTTGGGGTGTTTGAGTACTAGCTCAAGGGCCCCTGCAGCTGGCTTAAGAGGCCTTAGTGTAAGGAACTGAGGATGTCTTTTAAGCCAGGGAAATGGGCCTCAGAAGCCTTCCAGAACATTTTCTGTATAAATGTGGATATATATATATATATACACACACACACACACACACACACACACACACACATACATTCTTATAAATATGAAATCTCAGCTGGATGTGGTGGCACACACCTGTAATCCCAGCACTCAGGAGGCTGAGGCAGGAGAATCACTGTGAGTTTGAGCCCAGCCTGGACTACATAGCAAGACCCTGTCTCAAAAAAGAAAGAGAAAGGAAGGAAGGAAGGAAGGAAGGAAGGAAGGAAGGAAGGAAGGAAAGAAAGAAAGAAAGAAAGAAAGAAAGAAAGAAAGAAAGAAAGAA